GACTTGCAGGATGGTTTCTCCCCAGTTACCTGTGTTACAGTGAATTTTGCCACTTTAACCTAACAGCTCACACAAGCCTTCCTACGACCTTAGTGAACAAGCACCTTTGCCCCTCTCTTATCCTCTCTCTGGGGCTGCATAGAAGTGTCCATTGCAAACTGAAGTGAACAGCACCAAACTCAGCAGCCTCTCGGAGCCTCCGAGATACCTGCAGCTTTCCAAAACTCATCCGTACCTTGAGGGGAAAACCTCTTGGATGATCCAGCACACAGCAATACTCTGGCATAGCACTTCAAATTGTACCACGCTACGTTATTACAGAGCTGCAGCTGCAGAGAAATGGCTCTTTAGCCCATCCCCTCCACACAAGTGGCCAAAAGTGAGGGATAACTAAAATACATACTTGATCTCTATAGATTAACTCTACTAAAACCGGAAAAAAAAAAGAGCATGAAAATTGCTGTAGGACTTATTCCCTCACACTAGCCACAAAGAAACTGATGTGACTGCTAGGACATGAGCCACTTGCTATTTTGTTCTTCTGCTGGTATTTTTAGTATTATTTTTTACCTAATCACCCTACAAGTGTTTTGGACTAAGAACAGCTCTGTCTGTTGGTACAAGGGCTAACAGAGCTGGGGCAGGCTGCCAAGACTTCCAGTGCTATACATAAATCACAGGACCACAATCGAGACTGCAGAATTAGCACTGTGCAGGAATATCAAAGAAACACTGCAATTATACTGCGAAAGAACAAATCAGGCCCAACTCCTAAGCTCTGATTTTCCGTCTAGCTTCACTGCTGCCTGGCAGTAATCCAGACTGAATGTTAAGCAATTTGTAAAGTATTTTAAGGCCAGAGGATACTGCATCTGCCACTAGGCTCTTCCCAGAGGCTTTCAAAGGAGAGGGAACTTTCCTGCCAGCTGAGAATGAACCTTTTCTCTTTCTGCCAAGAAAACACAGAATTGGGATATGTCTTGGAGCACTGGCCAGAAGGGTTTGTTCCCCAGTTTGCATCTACTTACAGTCCGTGATCCTCCCAGCTAAGGACTCTGCGCTGAATCCAGCGAAGACCACAGTGTGAACGGCACCAATCCTGGCGCAAGCCAGCATGGCTGCCACAGACAAGGGAGATACAGACATATAGATGGCCACTTTGTCCCCCTTCTGTATCCCATATTTCTTCAGGGTGTTGGCAAGACGGCAAGTCAGATCCAGAAGTTCCCTGCAGCACAGAAGCAACCTGTTTTACGTGGGGGAGCAAAAAAAGGATGAACTTGAACCAAGCAAGGCATGGCGATCACCTCTGGACCTTGTTGTCTCAGCAGCATAGAGCATGCCAGCTTTTGCGTCTTAAACAAGGGTGGCCTGGGGCATGGTGAGAGCCAGAGTGCTCCTGCCATTGGGGAGAGAAGAAAAGGGGGGCAAAGAGCCACGCTCGCTGTGGAAGGACAAGCGAGCGAGAGCCGTAGGTGCTGCCCAGAGCTGCCGGGCTCTGGTGTGGGTAGAACAGCCAGCAAAGCCAGCGGCTGTCCTGCTGCCTCCCAAAGTTGGTGTTCATTTTATCCATCCTTGATGCCTTTTTTACCTACAAGGCTCAGTCAGAAGCTACGGGGAACACATGTGGAATAAACACAGGATGAAATGGAAGCATTGTCCAAAGACTCCTAGCACTTCTTATGTTGGGGGACTGCTGGAAGCGATTCACAACTAGTAGCTTCTCTTTAAATTGCAAGGGTAAACAATGCATTTGCATGCATAAGGAAGAAAATTAGAAGTCCTGGCACACCTGTGCAAGTGGCAGATTTTACAAGACTCTCATCAAAGCTGGATCACCAGTGGTCTAAATTCCTCCATCATCACTTCACCCTCCCCTGTCAGAGAGCATAACGGCCTCGCAGAACAGAGATACTGCTCTGAGTAAAACCGCAGCCACTCTTGCATAGAGAAACTCAGGAACAAACAGGCACAAAGACTCTTTTCACAGGGCTCATGATGTGCTGACTGCATAGCAGAAATGATCCTCTAAGGAAGGAAAAAGCAGTTTGTAGGCAAGGACTTGCACATACACTTATTCTGATGCCTGCATGGGGGATAACACGATTGCAGGCATGCCTGGGACCAAGATGCTGTCATGACCTGAACAGCTCTGTGTGCCTGCAGTGAAAGGGCTTTGAGAAGAAGACAGATGACTGTGCCAGGTGAGGAGCAATCTCACACCAAGGAAAGAGGTGACCAGAGCACCAATTCCCAGTGCCAGTCATCAGCTCAGAGGAGAAGACTTGCAGAGCCCGCCAGGAATGAAAATTGTCCTCTGGGTTAAGAACTCACCCAGTACTGAGGTCCAGAGGAGAAAGAGATCTTCTACTCCCTAGCACGCTCATCTTCAACCTGTCCCCTGTGAACCCTTGGTGGTCTGTAAGCTATGCTACCAAGGAGTCCAAAAACTGTTAATAAATAAATGAATTTTGAGGGTCTGCATTCCACAAGCAGCTGTAAAGCATGAATCTACCAATGTAGCCTTATCTCCCTGAACTGGCCATAGCTGTGAAAAAACAAACACACAAACGAACAAAACCTGTTTTCACCTGGTGGCTAAGCTACAAATAAAATGAAATGTTGTTTCTGGTCCATGAAAAATTGCTTCGTTTCTTTTTTTAAACCAATGCAAGATGAAAATAGGCAAAGTCCAAGTGCTCTGCTTTGGAAATGTCATAACAAAACCACAGGCTGAGAATAACTTCGTGTCTTACTTCTTTAGGATAAAACTCCATCTGCATTGTGAGGGCAGTGAAGCGACATAGCCACAGAAAAAGTACAAAGACAGATACACTGATGGCTGGAGGGATACCACTTCCCTGCCATCTTTTGGAAGATAAGGAAAACAAGCTTCGAATCCCAGCCACAGCACTTCGTGTTATTTATTTTAAGACTATTCCTGTAGCAGCAAGTAAAGAGACCACTCCTGAAGCACAGGAATGCAGAGAGGCCAGATGTGCTCAGTGCCTGCTCACCGGCAGCACCTGCCAACAGCTTCCACCGCGGAGAGACCACAACCCTGCAGAAAGCAGATACGGAGTGGCTTTATCCCAGACTGAATTTCCTCCTAATCCCTTTTACAGCTAGAGATCAGCCTAAACTCTAAAGCATAACATTCAATACCTCTTCCCAAGCGCTTCATGACGACACATGTTTCTGCTATCTACATAAGCGCAGTGTCTGTTAGATCTATTTTTTTTGCTTACTTTTACTAAGTTCATGAACCGAGCGACTCTGTGTAATAATGAATTCCCCCCAACGTTTGCTTTTGTGCCTTGTCCTAAAAGGTCACATTCTCTGCTCCAGAATTCATCCCATCCTGCACTAGAGAAAAATCTGAATGTGGATAACAAAGAGCCAAAAGAAAACTAAGCTGATCAACCGCGAGCACAGGAAGTGAAACAAGACCCAGACAAGCAGTTGTGAGAAAGTAAAAGAAAATCCACTTATCTGTGATGGAAAATACCCAAGTGCTTTCAGAGCTGCAGCCTCTTTCTCCTGAACAGAAATGCCAGAAGAGCTCTGGCGAGGGCATCCTTTCTGAGCAACTCCATGGTTCGCTTGCTTATTCAGGATCATGATGGTAGAAGCTCTTCTTGTTTTTTTATGATTAACCCCAGTTTAACATTTGCTTAATGAGAGTGTGTGAGCAAGATGATAGACAACAAGGACCAAGTCTTTACCCTCGGATCTATTTGCTTTGCCTTCCCTGAAAGGCCGAGATAGGAAGGTCTTAGAGGTCCCTTGGTGATGCAGCACATGGAGGAACAGACACAAAGGCAAAGAGAAAATGAAGCCAAGAACTCCAACAAAGAAATCCACAAATCCCTGAGCATCAGGTGTGTCTTCTGACTCCTGTAACAGCAACTCAGGCTTCCCCTCCAGTTCAAGAAAGGGAGTTAGCAGAAATGCTGTGCAAGGAATCCTTCTATTGACTCCCTGACTCCTTCACACACATCTTGCTATCTAACAGGCAGGCAATTAGTACATACCAGCAGGTTAGACATTTCTAGTACTTAACCTAGACATGTCTCAGGGTGGAACATGCACCCTGCAGAGTCACTGCCCTGCAGAACTGGGTAGGACAGACCAGAACTGAGCAGGAGGAAACCATGGCCATCACCCTCCCCACCTGCTACTGCTGCCAAGCTTGGCCTTGTGGTCCCTCCATCACACAAGGTTAGAAGAGCCAAAAGTAATCCTGGCCTCAAGCCCAGCACTGGCCCACCCTTGGAACACAGGCAATGACATCGAACACCAGTGAACTGTGCAAAGGGAAGGATCTGCCTCCCATCCACACCCAGGAGGTATGTCGGTAGCAAGGCACATCTACTGAAAACATACATCAGATGCTGAACAGGGCTAGATGCTGTCACCCTGCAGCTCATGAGACAGCGCAAAAGAAGGCACAGAATCACAGAATCGTACAATGGTTTGGTTGGAAGGGACCTTCAAGATCACCTGGTTCCAACCCCCCTTGCCATGGGCAGGGACACCTCCCACCAGACCAGGTTGCTCAAAGCCCCATCCAGCCTGGCCTTGAACACTTCCAGGGATGGGGCAGCCACAGCTTCTCTGGGCAACCTCTGCCACTGCCTCATCACCCTAATTGTAAAGAATTTCTTCCCTATGTCCAATCTAAATCTACCCTCTTTCATTTTAAAACTATTACCCCCTGCCCTGTCACAATAAGCCCTACTAAAAAGTCCCTCCCCATCTTTTTCATAAGCCCCCTTTAGGTACTGGAAGGCTGCTCTAAGGTCTCCTTGGAGCCTTCTCTTCTCCAGGCTGAACAACCTCAACTCTCTCAGCCTGTCCTCACAGCAGAGGTGCTCCAGCCCTGGGATCATCTTCGTGGCCTCCTCTGGACTTGCTCCGACAGGTCCATGTCCTTGTGTTGGGGGCCCCAGGGCATCTTCGCTTAGCCTCCACCTGCACTGAAACATGGGGTACAGAGGAAGGGCAGAGGAAGCAGAGGCTTGGAGTGGAAATGCCTACCCTGAAAAGGCTCAGCAGTTGCCAGTGAAGGACAGAGAGTGGCCAGAGGCTTGGAGCAGATGTGCACTGCTTCTGCAAACCACAAGAAGAGGGAGAAAGGCAAAATCCCAAGCAACGCTCAGTGTTGCTGCCTGCCAGCACTCCAAAGGACTTCAGTGCAGCCGCCCAAGCAGACTGTGCGGAGCAGGGCCCTATGCTCAGCAGAAGCAGGCAGGACAACCACTAGATACAGACGAAGCTGTGGGGCACACAGAGGATCGCAGGACACCCAGCTCCCTGCACGCAAGCCGGGCAGACAACAAGAGGATCTCAGCAGAGCCACTGCAGGAGAAGGAAATGTGCTGCAATGAAAGGAAGGGCCCAGCCCCTCTGGACAGAGATGGCTGAGAAGTTGCAAAGTCAGTTCATGGAGCAACAGTCTGCAGATCCTCTGCAAAAGCAGATCATAAGAGCTGAGAGCAAATAAGGGAGCAAACTGGGCAGCAGAACATCACTCCACTGGGTAAAGTATCAGGGTGGAGCTGAGATATGGGGAAGTAGCAACCAGCTGGACCCAGGAGGCGAGGCCGTTTGCACAAGAGAAAGAACAGTATATATAGTATGTGGTTTTAAAACGAAGCAAGCCAGGGAGATGGTAGGTGCATTAATGAACATAGGCAGGGAAGGTGAAAAATTATGATACATGGAGATTCTGGACTTGCTTTCGGAAAACATTATCTTTCAACTGAAAATGCTGACAAGTTCAACCCATTCATTGTACTGCAGGTGTGAGGGCAGATAGCTGCTGAACATGGATTTCGTGTGAATTTACCCATCCCAACCCTGCACCTCCAAAACCAGAGGGAAGCACTGTCTTAGCCCAGTGACATGTCTGCTCACGGTGCAGCTGTCTCACTGACAGGCTTTAAACACCGTGGACAAGAGCCCTGCAGAGAGCCAGCTCTCCTCTTGTGCCAGCAGCAAATGTGAGCATGGAGAGGCTGGGCTGCACATAAATCCCCACCTCCACGTTCGCAATGACCACCCCATCACAGAGCTGCTCTTGGGTTTGCTCTCCTGACCCACAGCCTGCTGATTTCCATCAGCTTTGGAGCAAGCCCTTCATGTAGTTCTTTCACATCACAACCTGCTGGAAAACCATCTCCTTTCAGGGACAGGGCAGTCTGCTCCTGTTGTTTCTCTGCAGCCCTGTAACACAGTACTGCCATGGCAAGCAATATGCCACAGGCTTTGGACTGAGTTTGCAAGATCTCGGGAATCCAGCTTGCAATGCTTGCTCTGCCTGAGCTCTTCTTGACCCACCTGCAGCCTTGTTTCGCCTGGTTTAGTTGTAACGGCAATTCTTCTAATTGACCAGGTAACCATGGCTAATTTTTTTTTATGCTTCTTTATCTTTTCATGCTACCAGCATGGGTTTACAACCCTGCCATAATGAGGTAGTATAAAGAAATACAGGCCTGGTATGATAAGAAGCCTTGAGAAATGGAGGCACAGGATGTGGCATGAAGGAGAACAGGCGTGAGACGAGAAGAGATGGAGCACAGGCTGGCGCTGGCAGTCCCACGCTGCAAACAACCGGCAAAAGAAATGTGGACCTGATGCTGCCCAAAAGTGGTAACCAACAGCACCTCTCTCTTTCTTTTCTGTAACAATCATATCTTGACTAGCAAGATAAGAATGGTAAGGGTTCAATTATACTAAGAATAACGCATGGCACTCTCTAAAAAAGGTGTGCATCCTTTTTGCCCGTAAACAAGACCCTGAGCATTAACACTGTTCTATTCTAGAGACTCGTCACCCTTTATGCAGGCATCTCCTCGGCGATTACAGCATCACTTCTAAGCACAAGACCTGCAAGGCTGGCCCTCCAGCAGAGCCACCAGATCACTGTTCAGGCTAGTACTTGTTTAATTTAACAGATGCAGCACTTCTCTCCCTATCTTTAAAACATCTCTGTTCAAAAACTACCAGTCATATTTCTCCCAGATCCCGCGTCAGATACCGTGGTGCCTGTGTTTCCAAAGCCCATCACTCAATGTCTGGAACAACGACTCCTGTAAAATCCATCACCAACACATGGCATTTCTCTGACACATTTTAGGGATGCCTGGCAAAAACATTTTTCCAAGAAGTCTGATGCTATCTTTTGCTACAGCAAGACAGCCTGCAGCTTTCTAAATAAAGGAAGCCAGTTCTTTCTACATCCAAAATGATCGCATCAAGACCTTCTTTGGGAAGCAGTCTTTGCAAAGCGTTTGTAGATATTTTCCTAATATATTCAATGCCGTATATGGGCTTTGACAGTGCCTGGTTAGGAGGCTCAACACAAGCCATGCTCTCTGCTGTCTCAGCACTACAGCTGGGCTGAGTATTTCTTGCAGGGATCAGTTTATTTGCTGGAACAATAGTTTGGATCAGGCTGAAACTATTAGAAAATTCAAGTCAAACGCCCCAAATGGGGGGAGAGGGGGGGGTGGAAAACAACAACAAAAAAAACACCAGATCTTTTCCAAAAGGAAAACTCAACATTTTTTCCATTTTAGTGAGAATAACTGCAAAATACAAAGCTCAACATGAGACTTTTTGGCTGTAGGTTCAGTTTTGTAGATTTAAAATGGTTGAGCACAATTGTCCAGCCTTCCTGGAGACATCCTGAACCCAGGGCAAGGAAAACCCCTTGTGACCTTTTTCAGGTGAGAAAGTGAAAAGTCCCTGAGCTGCCTTGGATGCAGAAAGCCGAAAGCCTGCGTGAGATTCACTTGCAACTTCAACTTAGGAAGCCAACACTGGAAAGAAGGAAAAGAGTTTGCTGTCAATGAGAAACACCTTCCACATTGCACAGCCTGGTAAGTACCCACATGGCTTCCAGCTGCAGTCTTCACTGTGATCTCTAACATAATTTCAACCATTTCAGCTTGGGCTGAGGAACCACCATCCATTGCCTTATTAAAGGCATAGCTGTGATGTGGCTAATGAAGATGTCCAACCGCTTCTCTCCCACCTACCTAGGACCCTACAAAATGCTACCTAGGACCCTAATTTCTGGCCCTTCAGCTTCTGCCTTCTTCTCCCTACTTTGTATTTTGCATTTTGAACATTCCCTCCATCCGCAACATTTTCTGTGGCCGAGCGAGCTCCTTTGTAAATTAAAACCCTTCCGTTGAGACCCAGCCTGCAACCCTTTGTAAAAACATGTTAGCTAACGCATACCGCTGCCCACTTCTTTGTACAGCTCCCTTTGGCAATATCCACAGCATTTTTCAGTGCTAGGAAACACTAGGTCACAGGTGGCTAAACTGTAGAGACCGTCGTAAACAAGGGAAAACCAGAGAGAATAAATAACCCCATGTTGGACAGGGAGAGGTCTGGCATAACTTTAGCTGTTGCCTTTGAAATTCTCTGTTGCTGAGCTTACAAAGGCTGCAACCCAACAGCTCTAACCACCAACTCCGCCTGCTTTCTAAGGCACTTGATAATACAGTGCCCTTTAAAACGCAGGCTCAGAAACGCTGCAAGGTTTCAAACCTCCTGGGCCCTGACAACATTCACAGAGCAAGACAAAACACTCCCAGTTGGCTTGGGCCCTTCTGCCAATAAATTCAGCTGGCTGCTCATGGCAGCACAGTCCTAGGGGTTAACTGCTACCTCCCCACTGCCCTACCAAGGAGTTTATGGTGGTTTAGCTTTCGGAGAGCCACACCTCTTGGTGAGATTGGCATGATCTGTCCCCATTTTGCTGACTTGCAGCCATCAGATCCCAGGAGGGTTGCATCCCCTGTTGTCACAAAGCAGTAAAAACCCCAAGCCTCCTGCCTTCCCCTGCAAAACTGGAGATAATTTGAAACTGAGCTGAATTTCTACTTGATAAAAATGAAACCCAGAGTCGGGGAAAAAGTACAAGAGGGGCCAGGGAACTTTTTTTCAAAGTTGCTTTTGCTGGAGAGACAGGACAAAACTCAGCAGTCAAAAAGATCATCACAACTGAGCTTGTAAGGGCAGCAATCATCCTTCAAGCAACACTGAAATGTTTCACCTATGGCTTTGCGTATCTTTGCCAATAAGGAGATGTTTGGATGCCCCTCCTAGCACAGAGCACTTGAACTCAGCTGCATAAATACAACCCACTTGGCTGACAAACGTGCACAGGGAAGTCGGCTATGGCACAGCCCCACCAGCTCGTTGCCTGCAGTAAGCTAGGCAGGTAGAGGGGCAGCAAATGGACGCTCTTACTTCTCCCAAAGATCAGCAAGCTGGGAACGCACTTTCCATTGTAGCTGCATTTCTTGCCAATGCATGTAGCAGATCCCACTGATCGAGGCTTTCCTTTTCCTCAGGGAGGAGGAATCCGGTTCCAGCCCTTTTCCTGCACAGCCGCTTTCTTCCTTTGCAGGCTGCGATGGGAATGGGGCCAGTGCTCATCTGTTTTCTTGCCCCTGATAGCTCCCTGGAGGAGAAGGGAGAGCACCCATGCCAGCAGCCACGTCTTTCCTTGTGCCACTCCCCAGAGCTTATCTATAAGGAGAAGCTCACAGCAGCAAGCTTTGCAAAGTAGACAATGCAAAAGAACGGTGCCTTTGTACTTCTCTGCACATGAGCCCTGGACACTTCCCAGCTGAGATTCCAGGACCTTCTTCAAAGCCAGTCCATAAGGTAGAGGCCAAATTAAAGTCTTTGCCTTCCTAGCGCACGACTTTAAGGCTGCTGTCCCATTAATAGCACCTCCAGATCCCAAGGAAAGAGGCCTATCTCCTCTGCCACAGACACCACAGTTTGGATCCTCCTGATATCCAGCATCCCTCTCATTCCCTCTTTGCGCTGGGGCTGTCCTGCACTGAGGCTGGCATGCAGAGAACCCCCTGCTACAGAAAGATCTCAGCGAATTACTCAACCGACATCACAGCTTCTGGGTCACCTCTTCTTCTGATACGCTTTCTGATCCAGCAGATCAAAGATGTGGCTCCCTGAGATCCAACAGATCAAACATCTGGCTCCCCAAAATATGCACTGAGGAACATACAAGTCTGGGAAACCTTCAGCTCTCACTAGAGACAGATGATGTAAAAGGCATTTTTGCAGGCAGGCCTGTCTCCTAAATGAGGGCACATAGCAGGGAGAAGAGAAATATGCTTGAAAACTGCCATATTTTAACAAACCCTACAATCTATAGCAGCAATTACAAGTCAGCATCACTCAGAGCAGCCTCAAGGTTGCTCTAAACTGCACTGAGGATGGGGAAGAGGAGCACAGGAAGCTTCAAGTCCCCTCCAGCCAGGATTTGGTATCATGCTATTGACCATCAACATAAGATGTTTGCACTGTTGCACAAGTTTGTTTGTTGCAAGATGTTTGCACAAGACATTTGCTGCTGTGCTGAAACAGAAAGCTGCTCACACAAATCTTCCCATGAACACTTCTAACGAGCAAAAAGAAAACTGGCAGGTGAGAATATAAGCCAAGGAGAAAAAAAAAAAAAGGCTTTCTCTTAAAAGTCCCCACTTAGAGAGAGGGAATCTACAGGCAGGCCTGATGAACACCATAACCAGAAGACAATGCCTGATCTCAATGTGAAATTTTCAGTAGCTGTCACTAACTTACATCCACTGTACTCCTCTGTAATATGTTTATTACACAGGTGTCTAAGATCAAGGAGCCCTCTCCATGAAGAACCCAAGGGAAGAATATAAATTCTAGGTGGAAAAACACCTCCATTTTTCAGGAGCTATCTCATTGTGACACCACAACCTAGCTGCAGCGCTGCGGCTGCATCTCCTATATGCTGGAGTACCATGGAAGAAAGCAGAGTGTCACAGAGCTCTGATTTCAGAGCAGCAGCTCTTCTCCCCATCCCACCGCATTGCCAGGCATCGGAAAGCATCGTGAGAAGGTGCCATACCTGTACGTGACATGTACTGCGGTGCCAGGCTCATCTCTCTCCCAAATCAAAGCCACTCTGTTCGGAGACTTTTCGACATGTTGATCCAAGCAATTTACTGTAAGAAAACAGAGGTTTAAACAAAGCCTGGTCATATGCAAAGTGCTCTGTAAACTTTGCTTGGCCAAGCATAACAGCAAGCTAGTGTAAGATGAAACATTATTTGTTAGCGAGCTAGCCACACACTCGTTTCTAACACTGGAAGCAATAGCATTTGTAGCACTGGTAAAGCTGTCCTTTGCCATATCTGTAGTATGCAAATACTACAACTCCTACACTTAATTGGTGCAGGTGCCTTACAGATGGCATCCCCATGAGAGGCCTCAGCTGATTTAGCTCAGCTTAGCTCCACTGGCTAAGCTTAAACCAGCCCAAATCTCTCCCCTGCTCCCAGCAGCCCAAAGACAAG